GGAGAGGAGAGAAGAGAAGAGAAGAGAAGAGAAGAGAAGAGAAGAGAAGAGAAGAGAAGAGAAGAGAAGAGAAGAGAAGAGAAGAGAAGAGAAATACCTAACAAAAACTAAAGTGATCCTTCCCAATTTTGATCCATCGCTGGAAAAGCATATTCCTAAAGAAGGTGTGTGCTGTGTGAGATATTTATCTATGAGAATCAGCTGAACCAGAGCTCCACCCCAGCTCTTCTACTCAGCTGTGTAAGACCTTAAGCAAGTTATTGATCTCCTGATTCTGTTTCCTCAACTCTAAAGGGAAATAGTAACTCCAAAATCCGACTCTTCAAAAGATCACTTGAGATTATTGTGCACAGCATTTCGTGTGCTGCTTTGCATGTGTATGGGTATATATACAGGAATAAATCCATGATGGATTTGTCCTGATTAAAGAAAGTGCCTACCACATTGTTTCTGTTTTGAACCCATTCATTGTGAGAATCTGGAATGGGAAATAACTGTACAAACAACCTCTCTTCCTGGCATTGTCTTCTGGAGGAGAGTGGACCCTAAATTATACAGAAGTGTTACATATAGGACATTCTGGCCATCAATAAGCATCTGTGGGAGAAATGTTCCCTCCCAGGACAGACCAAGCTCTGGCGGTCCCCTGCTCCACTCTGGATTCCAGATCACCTTCCTTTGTCCAGTATGCACTTCAAAATGAGTAACCAGAAAATGAGGAAAGCAAGTGGAAAATGATTGTCAGCCTGAACAGAAATAGAAACATTGCTGGGAAGTCACCATGGAAACGAGGAGGTAAAAAATCTTGGGAAGCCAGGGCTCAAGCAGTCAAAAAGTTCAAAAATTTAGAGATATATGCATGAAGTTATGAGAAATAAAGTGGGATAGCAAAAGGCAATGCAAAATAAAAAAAAAAACATATAAAATTTTGTCAAGTGAAAGAGATGAGAAAAATAGGTAAACTCTCACTGCATACCTAGCACTTTCCCTCCCCTGCCTCATTTAATCTTGGCAAAAACCTGAACCGAGAGCGCTTGTCATTCTCACGTAACAAATGAAAAGGAAGCCTACTCAACGAGGGCCATGAGTATAGAGCTAAAATTCAAATCCAGCTCTGTCTCCAAAACCCATCATTTCCACTTCACCAGACTGGAGCAGACTAAAATGTTATGTCCAGTGCCACAGGGAAACCATTCCCACAGGGGGACTTCGGCTTGTTCTCATAAACTCATCACCTGCATTTCCGTTGAAAGAGAAAGCAAAGTGCCCGAGCCAGTGTCACCATTTCCAGAATTCCCATATTTAAGGTTTTTTTAGGTATCTCTGAGAACAAGGGCCTTGTCTTCTAAGTCTGAATGGATTCCATTTATAGGGGAGCATTCTTCAGTCTGGTATGCAAATTAGAGTCCATTTAAGCACTATGAAGTCAGAATTAGACAAGGTGAAACCGTAAAAACACACTCACTCCATCACAATCTGCAGGTATAAAACCAACAAGTGAGAAATCCTCCAAAACAGTGAGAAAACAATTTTGGGGTAAGGTCCTTCTTCCATAATAATAATAATGTTTTTGTCTCCTTTGTCCCTTTAAGGAATTACTTTGTGTCCCTTTCCTCAAATAGTACAATATATAATATTCTATATTTCTATAATCTATATAATATTCTATACTTCTATATTCTACATAATATTATACAATTGTCCTGAGAAAAAAAGATAATGTAATTATGTTAAGATCATTTGAATCCTGTGCTGGCTTCACTCCCCAAGAACATTGAGCCAGGAATGGAGTCCAGGCCTGGTGGCACATGCCTATAATCCCAGCACTAGAGAGGCTGAAAACAGGAGGATCACTACAAGTCTGAGCTGCGTAGTGAGACCCTACTCCCCCCCCCAAAAAAAAAAAAAAAACACCTAAAGATCATTTGAGCCAGGCCTGGTGGCACACACGTGCAATCCCAGCACTCAGAAGGCTGAGGCAGGAGGATCATTGTGAGTTCAAGACCAGCCTGGGCTACAAAGTGAGCTCAAGGCCAGCTCGAACTGCATAGTGAGAACTGTCTCAAAAAGACAAATCAATCAGTCAATCAATCAATCAATCAATCAATAATCATTTGTAAGGTAAAAGTATGTAAGTGTTCTGTGAGTAGTTCTAACCTTGTGACATCTAATATTTTCCCCTCTATGTCTACGAACTCTGAAGTTATATAACTGCATAGATAACATCTCCTAGCTGAAGCAGCTACGGGGAGAGTCTTCAGAATCAGGTGGATGGTGTTCAAACCCTAACCCTGTCACCTACTGGAAATACAACTTTCAACAGTGTGCTCAACTTTCTGAGCCTCCATTTCCTCACTTATGAAATAGATATAATAACAAGAGTCTATTGCATAGGGTTGTTAAACTACTATATTAGAATATAATTGCATTACGCTTATCCCAACCTGCCTGTGTAATAACTGCTCAAATTCATTAGCAGCTCTTAATGTTTTACTTTGGACACAAACAGGAAAGGTGTTGTCACCTGTCTTGCACCAACAGGGAGTGAGAATCACAGCCTCTTGGGTCACAAAGCCAACAAGAGCCAAACTGAAGAGGAATCCAAGGGCTCTAAGTTCTTGTCCCATCTTGTCTCCACCTTCCTGCACTCCAGGCAGCTTTGTGCAGGTTGTATCACTTTGGGTGTCTGTGATCTGCAGCATCCAGGAGGGTCTTGTTCATCCTGGATCAGGCCTGCCCACCCCTAGGCTTGCTCCCGGCTCCCACTGGTTTCCCTGTGTGAGTCAGGCCCTTCATTTTTAACAGAAGCTGAATAATGTCCATTGATGCCTGGTACACAGCGCATCCAGTGGGAGTGTGTGTAATTATACCTCTCCAGAGTGACGGAGGCAGTTATATAACAGAATAATTGGGAGATTTCATTTTGCACATATGTGGAAACGATATGCCAAACACTTCCTCCTCCTCTGAGGCAGGTGAACACCCTCAGTGCTGGACAGGAAAAATAGTCAGACACCTCTCACTTTGTGCCTGATTCATGAACACCCCTGAAGACTTGGGGTTTGCCTGGGCATCTCCCTTTATACCAAAGGAAGCTACATCTGTCCTCTACATGGACAGAGTTTAATTCAGTCATTTCCAGACACCTACTTCTGGGCCTTCCGGAGAAAGGCTCTAAGGATTGCGTGGCTCAGAAGAAAAGACTCAAGCCTTGGAAGCCAGTACTGTTTCTTTTACCTCAGTAATGCCAATCTGAGAAGAAGTGACCTTGAGATAGCCTCCCAGAGCTGTTATTATTTCCTGTGAAGAGAAAATGATATTTATCTGTCAGAGTCGGAGAAAACTTAAAAAGTTCGTCTGCTTACACTCTAGAAGTCACAGCTTGGAGCCAAACCGCCCTGGGTTAAAGCCAGGCTCCATTTGGGAGACCGTAGAAAATTGCCTCCGCTTTACTGTGCGTAATCCCTTCCCTGCAAGGTGAAGAGTGACCAGGTACCTGGCTCGCTGAAGTGTATTGTGATTAAAAGAGGCTGACACAGTGACTCTTGAAAGTGCGATTGATCATGGGTGGAATTAAATTTTGTTTGGCCAGCAAAAATAAATAAATAAATATTAAAATAAATAAATAAAAGAGGCTGAATATACATGCAGGGCTTAGAATGGCACCGGGCAGGGTGGACAGGCACGGTCAGCATTAGTTGTTGTCATGGGAGGAGCCTGGAACAAAGTGGAGGAGCGACAGGTATTGTAGTAGTCCCTGCCTAAGACCAGTTCCTTTCATTTTCAGTGATGACAATCAGGAAAAAGTGAACTCTAATTTAATTGAGAATTGTTCCTGCTGGACTACCAATGTCATGTTTTTGGTGTAGCTTTCTTTTCTCTCCAGGTCTGCACCCTGTGTTCAGTTTTTTTTTTTTTTTTTTTTTTTGGTGGAACCAGGGATTGAACTCAGATCCTTGTGCTTGCCAGGGAAGCGCTTATTCCTCTGAGCCATCTCCCCGGCCCCTGCACCCTGTGTTCAAACTATCTTTTTCCCTTTGGTACCTCCCAGCCACCACTCTGCTATGAATAAATCAGACTGGAACTGAGCTCCCCTCACCTTCCTAGGCCTGGCGATTGATCATGGGTGGAATTAAATTTTGCATACAGTAGCTACAAATGATTTTTGATGAACTGAAAAGGAATCTTTCCTCTGGAGCCATTGACGGGGTGGGGGGGGGGGCACCTCTTTTCTTCAAACTTGCTTTCCTTGCTTTCCTGAGCCTAGACTCAATCTACTCACTATGAGCGCACCCCAGACATGGCTCTCTGTAATGTCAGTCTAAAACTGCTTTCTTTGTTTAAAATATTTATCTATGTATCTGATACAGCCTCTCACCGTGCAGTTCACACTTGTAGCAATCTTCCTGTCCCAGCCTCCCCAAGCTACAGGCTTGCACCACCGTGCCCGTTTTCAGTGACCTGCTCAACATGCAGTACCAGGTATCGAACTCCGGTCCCTGCTCTTGTCAGGCAGGCTTTTAG